CCAATATGCGGAGAGCGCGTGGACTTCGGGTGAGGAAAAGCAAAGCCAATTATCAACAAACACATTCTGACTAACAATGGCAGGCTTCTTCAACCCGCGACGTTTGCATCTTCTGCGCCACCCGTCAATTGGCCATCTCGAATACGCTCGCTACATCATCATCGGACGCTACACAACGACGGCAACTCAACTCATCTAGTAGAGCCCCGCAATCGGCGGAGGCCATCCTATACAAAGATGCCAACGAGCGCAAGGAGCCAATGTCGCAGGCACAGCGCATGCGGCAGGCGCTGGCCGCCAGCGCCCCTCAGCCGCAATCACAAGGAGGCTTCATGTCGCCGGCAGAGAGGATGAGAGCATCATTAGCACAAGCACCTCCGCAGCATCAATCCCAAGCGTCACGGCAATTCCCACCAGAGCGACGCGCAATGAACAGAGGCGGTCCTTTCGATGGGCCGGGGCGGAACCAGAGCAGAGACCGATTTGCACCTGGTGTACGGAGGACGACCGGCAACGAGCGTGGCAATGACTATCGACCTCCGCCCCAGAATCGCTATACCGTCAATATGGACTCGAGACCACAGGTCAACACCCCGGCATTTGGCTCCGGTCACCTTAGACGACGAAACGACCCACAGCCCGAACGCTCCCCGTTCGGATTAGACGACCGAAGATCACCACAGGCTCCTAGACCTGCACCACAAAGAAAGATGCTGGATCAAGATGAGATATCAAAGTTGTTGGGGAATGCGGCGTCGAACTCAACCCCGAAACCCTACACACCACTTGCAAGGGACATAAATGCACAGAGGACATGTTTCCACTGTGGATCGAAGGAGCACGCGAGCAATATGTGCCCATCAAAGCCGGTGCTCCGCGAGCCTCAACGGCAGGAACAACCAGCACAGAAAACGGCCATGTATACACCACCACAACGTTACAAGGAATCGATATCGGATGCTGCAGAAGCCTGGGCGCAGAAATCGAAGGGCAATTTGGACATTGAACAGTCGGCAAGATGGCAGATAGAAGAGGATAACAGGCGACGCAACGACGTGGACAGCGAGAGAAGGCGAAGTCGCTTTGCCTTTGACGAGCCGGATGAGTCCAAGAACCGATACGAAGAGCCCGCGCGAAGGCAGGGCGGAAACAAGGGCAGGAGCCGACGCATACAACGGGACGAGGAGGACGATGAAGACCGGCCACACGTCAGCAAGCAAGAACGCAAGCGGTTACGGGCTGAGGCGAAGAAGGCAGCCCAGTCGGCAAAGGCCGGTCCTACACCGATCTCATTACCAGAGTACATCAGCGTGGCCAACCTTGCGGGTGCCCTTAGGTTGAGAGTAGAGGACTTTGTGCGAAAGTTGGAAGAGCTAGGGTTTGAGGATGTGCAGAATGATCACATTCTGAACTCGGAGCATGCTGGCCTTATTGCACAGGAGTATAACTTTGAACCGATCTTCCAGGCACAGGAAGATGATGGCGACCTCTATCCCGCAGCACCTCTTGAGCCTGAGGCCTACGCCGAGCTTCCTGCACGACCACCTGTTGTCACGATCATGGGTCACGTTGATCATGGCAAGACGACTATCCTCGACTATATGCGTTCGACTAGTGTGGCGGCTACCGAGTTTGGCGGCATCACACAGCACATTGGTGCGTTCAGTGTGCCACTGGCAAACGGAAAGAAGATCACGTTCCTTGACACGCCCGGTCATTCTGCATTCGAGACGATGCGCGCTCGTGGAGCCAACGTTACCGACATTGTCGTCTTGGTCGTTGCTGCGGATGACTCTGTCATGCCCCAAACTGTGGAGGCGATCAAGCACGCGCAAGCGGCGAATGTCCCTATGATTGTCGCCATCAACAAAATTGACAAGGCGCAAGCTGACCCTGATGCCGTCAAGCTTGATCTCGGCCGTCACGGTATTGAGATTGAGGACTTTGGAGGCGACATCCAGGCTGTTTGCGTCAGTGGAAAGACAGGACAGGGCATTCCCGACCTGGAAGAAGCCATTTCAACGTTGTCGGAGATGTTGGACCACCGCGCTGATCCTGCGACCTCCGTCGAAGGATGGGTTCTTGAGGGTACCACCAAGAAATCTGGACGCGTGGCTACCGTCCTGGTCCGCAGTGGTACCCTTCGTCAAGGAACAACGCTTGTCGCAGGAACTACCTGGACACGCGTGCGTACTCTGCGCAACGAGGCTGGCGCTGTGGTCAAGGAAGTCGGGCCTGGTATGGCTGTCGAGATCGACGGCTGGCGTGATCAACCCATCGCTGGCGACGAAGTGCTACAAGCAGAAGATGAACAGCATGCGAGCTCGGTGACCGATCTCCGCAGCGAGAAGGTCGACAGAGAGCAAATGGCGCGTGACATGGAAGCCATCAACGAGTCTCGCCGCCTAGAAGCCGAGCGTCGTGCGGCCGAAGAAGCAGCTGCCAAGGCTCTCGAGAATGGCGAGGAAGCTGAAGTCGCTGAGGAGAAAGAGGCTGGTCCGGAGGTCGTCTCCTTCATTATCAAGGGAGACGTATCTGGCTCTGTTGAAGCAGTCATTGACTCTGTCTCAGCACTCGGAAACGCAGAGGTATCTACGCGCATCCTCCGCCACGGTGTTGGCGCACCCTCCGAATTCGACATCTCGCACGCCGCCGACGCAAAGGGACATGTTATCAACTTCAACACCACAATTCCTGGACACGTTGCCAAACTAGCAGAAGAGAAGGGCGTCAGGATTCTTGACAGTAACATCATCTACCGCGTAGTCGAAAACGTCAAGGATTTGCTATCCGAGAAGCTTGCACCAAAAGTCATCCAGAAGGTCACGGGTGAGGTGGAAATCGCAGCCGTTTTTGAGATTGGCCTTGGTGGCAGGAAGAAGATGAAGGTCGCGGGAAGTAAAGTCAGGAACGGTGTTGTCGATAGGGGTTCCAAGGCTAGAGTACTCCGTGGCGACAAGATTGTCCATGATGGTAAGTCATTCCCCACGTTGTTGTGTAAATGAAGCATATGCTAACGAAGATTGTTAGGCGTGATCGAGTCGCTCAAAAACCAGAAGAAAGACGTCGAGCAAATGCGCAAGGATACCGAGTGCGGTATTTCGTTTGAAGGCTGGGAAGACTTCAAGGTGGGTGATCGCATCCAATGTTATGAAGAAAAGTTTGAGAAGAGGAACTTGTAAGATAGTGTATACTATGTACATAGAATAGCGTGGGGCGGTTTGGGTTGAGGGTTTGATAACTACCCTTCTTCGTGTATATATGTAGATGTATGGATATGTAACTATCAATTATCCCAATCACGCAAGATATGATCATGGTGCAGGAATCGGTCTGCCGCCACCCGCGCTTGTGATTTGGATATCATCACTGAAACCGTATTCAAGGTACTCTAATGCGTTCGTCATTATCCTATGCCTTATTGTACTATGACACCCTGCCACTTCCTGTTGCAGACATGCAACCTTTTATATTCTGCCCTCTTAATGCTCGCCAACGTGTTTCCGTAGCTTGGCCCCCGTCCATAATACCGGCGCAAAGTGTGTCGACATATTAAAGCTGAACAGCGACACAAACCACAGTATGGCCATAACGGCGACTGGGACGAGGAGGAGCTCAGTGTGGTGGAGGAAGGGCAGTTCCTTGTAGCCCAAGAAGGTGATGATGAAGTAGTAGTTCAATGCGGCGAGGTAAAGTGTGTTCGAAAGGAGTAGCGAAAACCTAGACATGTCAGCGCATATTCTGATACTGTAAGTTAAGAACATACCAATGGTGTGTGCCTATGAGTGGCATGCACAGGAACTGCACAACGTAGAGGAACACCCAAACCGGCACAAAGGCCCGGATGGCAACATCCCAGCAGTACCCAAACTCGAGTTCTTCTTTACCCGAGTCTTCTCCTAGGTTGTACAGTCCCCTCCTTCGTCCTGGTAGCAGTGTGTTGTCCGGGCCTAATAATCGGCCGACCAGGAAGAAGAACAGCGTCGCTATCAATAGCGAAAGCAGCAAGAAGTGCCCGAAAATGAAGACCATGGTTATATGTAGGGTCTGTGTAAAGCCATCGGCGTATGCGAAGCCCCATGCAAGTGATGTGAGGGTCAGGAAGAAGGAAAGCAGGTATGTGAACGACGGATCGGGGCGGTGGTATGTCTTGGTAGTTTGTTTCTACACGCTGTTAATCACATATCTTCACACAGAGACCAGGAATACATACATGGTAGTATATCTGTCGAAACACCTTCTTGGGTGCTATTATCAGGCTCATGATCTCCCATATGGCCATTTCAAAGTCCATCTGGGGGAATTTGAACATGCGCTTGAAGAAGCGCGGCATCTTGATCTCATTCCGCCGTGTCGATGGGGTCGAGCCAAAGTTTGAAGGTCCGCCCGTCGGCCTTGGGAGTGATATGTGCGGGTTCATGTTGGGCGTGCTTTGTGAGGTGTTGGCCGTCTATAGGCAGCTGTTGAGTGAAGGCGCGACGCCAGAAATGGAGATACTCGAATGCGCGTCAGGTATTGGTGTCACCGCGAGTCCCAGACTTCCATTGTTGGAGGGGCGCGTCAATCGTCCGGTGGTTCGGTGAATGGTGGCTATGTGTTCGGTACCTGAGCGATGACGCCGCCGTCTGAGCTAGCGCCAAGAACGAGGCTGACAGGCTCCGCCGAGAGCAAGCCCGCAACGCCGACTCGCAACCTTTGCTCCTCTCACGACAACGCGCTCACCTACCTCAACCACGGCGAACGGCGCATCACCTCCACCCCCGCGCGCATCTTGGAAGATATCGGCGCGACCTTTGCACCTGTCAAACGCACCGTGGAGACCTGCATCGCGCCTCCCGCTTTCGCGCGCACCTCTCGACGCTCCTTCTAGACACTAACCACGCGACAAAGACATCCATTGTCCACGACACTCCCGCGCCTGAGCATATCGTAATACAACGCCCAACATTACTTAGCGATCAGTTCTGACAGCCCACCACAGCTCTCACGCACCCACAGCCATGGCGGACGACGCTGAGCTCGCCTTCCTCGAGGCGCAAAAGGACGAATACGACCCTTCAGCCGGTTACACCATGCCCGACGCTGCCGCTGGACAGGACGAGTACGACCCCGCCGCCACATACTCGCCGCAGTCCTACCAGTCGGCATCGATGCAGCCAGAATCTGGCGCAAACTCACCACCGGCCGCCGACGCCGAGGGCGAGAATGGGGTGCAGCCTCAGCCTACTCAGACCTCCACAGAAGGCTCCGCAGCGCCGCCGTCGAAGCGACCGCGCACTGTGGGTGGTTTTGTCGACGAGAGTGAGGACGAGGAAGAGGAGCCCGCTGTGCAGCCGCAAGAGGCGAATGCTACACTGAGTGCTACTGGAGCTTCAGAGACTCCCCAGCCATCTTTTACAAACTCTCCAAACAATACACTCCCAAACCCAGATGTACAGTTACATAGTGCACAAGATCAGGCTCCCGCTTCCATCTCTGCTTCTGTCGCTGTCAATGAGCCTGCTCCCTCTGTTGCTTCTCTTCCTAACGGCAGTACGCCTGTTGCAGACGCTACTAAGCCAGGTGCTCCCGACGTCATGACTGCTGCTTCGGCACGCCCGTCTGTAGCCCCAGCTACTCCAGCTCCTATGTCTGCTTCTCTACCAAAGGCTCGTCTTCCTCAGGACCGAGTGGGTATTCTCGAAGATCGCATTGCTGAAGATCCGCGTGGTGACATCGAAGCGTGGTTGAGTCTAATTGAGGAGCACCGTAGGCGACACAAGCATGACGACGCACGAGCTGTCTTTGAGCGCTTCTTCAAGATCTTCCCTTCATCAGTAAGCAGGACTGTCGATATCTCATGTGATGTACTAACATGTCTAGGGCGAGCAATGGGTCGAGTACATTGCCTTTGAGACGGAGCTTGACGAGCTGCCAAGAGTCGAACACCTCTTCGGTCGCTCTATTCCTTCAGCCCAATGGCTCGGCATCTACTCTGCTTACATCGACTTCATCCGTCGCCGCTTCAACCTTACCACTGACCAAAATGGACAGAACCGCCAGACCGTCACACAAGCTTACGAGTTCGTCCTTACTTCAGTCGGTCTGGATGTTCATGCCGGAAAGCTTTGGCTTGACTACATCGAGATGCTCAAATCTGGGCCTGGTGTTCTCGGTGGCAGCAGCTGGCAGGACATGCAGAAGATGGATACTCTGCGCAAGGTATATCAACGCGCTGTTTCAGTACCACACAACGCGACCCTAGAGATCTGGAGAGACTACGACAGGTTCGAGACAAGTCTGAACAAGGTCACGGTAAGCCTCATTGCATTCAGTCCCTTGTATTTACGAGGCTAACATCGATGACAGGGCCGCAAGCAACTCCAAGAAACCTCGCCTGCCTACATGACTGCACGCAGCGCCATCAACGTCCTCGACAACAACATCACAAGGGGCGTCAACCGAACCACACTACCCAAGCTGCCACCCGCCGCCGGCTTCGATGGCTACGAGGAGTACATGAACCAAGTGAAGCTATGGAAGAACTGGATTCAGTGGGAGAAGAGCGATCCGCTTGAGTGCGCTACAGACAACCGGGAGTTGTACAACAAGCGTGTACTCCACCTGTACAAGAATGCGCTCATGGCCCTCCGCTTCTGGCCAGAACTGTGGTACGAAGCAGCTGAGTGGTGCTACGAGAACAACATCCAGGCTGAGGGCGACAAATTCCTCAACGACGGCATCGATGCGAACCCTGAGAGCTGTCTCCTCGCTTTTAAGAAGGCCAACCAGGTCGAGCAACGCACCGACTTCGAAGATGGTCAAGCGGGTATCGTTGCTAAGGGCAAGGCTGTACGAGAGCCATACCAAAGGCTTCTCGATACCATCTACGATCTCACAGCACAAGTCAAGAAGCGAGAGGAACACTCAATTTCCCGTGCGAAAGAACAATTCGAGGCACAGAAGGCTGCCGACGAAGCTGCCCGCGCAATCGCACAACAGAACGAGGATGCTGACGACGAGGACGAAGTTGTTGCTGCGCGTCGCTTGAAGGAGAAGGAGGACGCTTTCGCCCTTCAACTCCAGGCCATGTCCGCCGGGTACAATGCGCAAACACAGAACCTTAAGAAGACACTCACGTACACATGGATAGCTCTCATGCGGGCTATGCGCCGTGTTCAGGGCAAAGGAGATCCCAGGGGCGAGATTGGTGGCTTCCGTGGCATCTTCACCGAGGCTCGCAAGAAGGGCAAGCTGCTGAGTGAAGCCTACGTCGCTAGTGCGCTCATTGAGCATCACTGCTACCAGGAACCAGCCGCACAGAAGATTTTTGAGCGCGGTATGAAGCTGTTCCCTGAGGATGAGCAGTTTGCGTTGGAATACATTAAGCATCTCATCAAGCTCAATGACTCTACCAGTAAGTGACACGGTCCACGCATTAAGGTCTCCTACTAACGTCTTCAGATGCTCGTGCCGTCTTCGAGACAGTCGTTGGCAAGCTCACGGCCAAGCCTGAGACTGTTCATAGGGCTAAGTCGCTTTTTGCCTTCTTCCATGATTACGAAGCTCAGTTTGGCGAGCTGGCCCAGATCACAAAGCTTGAGCAGCGCATGGCAACTCTCTTCCCTGAAGATCCTCAGCTGCACCGCTTCTCGCAGCGCTTCGCGACCCAGACCTTCGACCCGATCTCCGTCCGTCACATCATCTCGCCTCGCACACAGATGAAGCCCGTCATGCCAGCGACCATGCCATCGGTTATGCCCTCCATCGAAGAGCAGCAGCAACAGCAGCAGCAGCAGCAACCGATGCCTGCGCTACCACCCCAAATCGTAGCCGAACAACAGCGCCTCGCGTCTCCCGGCATTGCGAACTCCCCACACCTCGGAAACCTCATGCCTGTCACGAACTCACCAAAGCGCCCTCTCGATGACGCGGACGACGGTGGACAGCCTCGCAAGCTTGTTAGGGGCGAGTCACCGCTCAAGGGTGCGGCAGGTCGCCGTCTCGATGCTGCACGCCGCAACCTAGCCACCACCGGTGCGACACCCGTTGGCCAGGCTCCCGGCCCGCCACCTCTGCCTCGTGGCGTTAACTTCCTCCTCGGCATCATTCCTCCTGCAAGCACATACAAGGAGACGCGCTTCAAGGCTGATGGGTTGGTGGCTCTGCTGCGAAGCGTTGATGCCATTCCAGTTCCACCGGGCCAGGGTCCTCCGCAGCCACAGCGCTGGGGCACCACCCCGACAACAGCACAGCAGCTGCAGAGCATACAAGAGAAATACGGCAATGGTGGGCACATGCCCATGCACCCAGCTATGGCGGGCGCAAACGCTTGGGGGCCTTAGGAAAGGTATCCAACGTTCATCTTATTGGAGCTTGTGCGCCGGCATTACCGCGTTTGAGCAAGAAAGAATCGGATTATCTTCACTCGAAAAATGGTTGTCTAGACCAAGAACATTGCATGGATTGGCGTTTATTCTTCTCTACTCATTTGTACGGGCTCGATCACCAAAACATCCGGATACTGAGAGCGTAGGGAAGGGGGACCGCATGGGGTATCACTAATGGAATAATGGAGGTTTGGCTTGGCTTTTGCCAGCCTATATGTGTGAGCGAGGCGTTGGGTTCTTGATTGCGCCTTGGGGCGGCATTCTCATCGAAGTCTTGGTGGAAGGACTTGTAGTCTCTTTTCTTAGATGTCCTTAATGGAAAAGATGGTTCATCTATCCTCTTTTTGTCGTGCCGTGATGCTATTCGAGTGATGACAGTTCATGAGCTCCTCCTGGATAGAAAGGAGGAAGATCATCTGAATTGATGTCTTGTTCATGCGTCACACATGTTATCTATCTACTAACACATGAATCTCTTTCCCAGTTCTATGTTGCTGATCATGCCCCTTCGCAGCTCGTATACAATGCACGGCACGACACCACGCATGCATCGGTGTCATGGCTCACTACCCCACTCGATGTCATCGGGCTAGCCACCGAACTAGCAACCTTAGAACGTCGCGCCTTCCTGTCCGACATGCTTCCTTCCTTCTAGGCCACACAGATCGCACGTATATGTACCAGAACTAACCCACTCGGTTAATCTAATCGCCTCTTCCCAAGCATGCACAGGACACCTTAATCTGTCGCCGTCATATAGCAGCACTTCGCCGAGCAGTCTTCGGTGTTTGCCCGACGTGATCTCCGATTTAGGGGTGTATAAGAGCACGGAAGGGACGCAGTATCCAAGAGTACACAATGGATTGGAGATTTAGACTGGGTTCTCCGGTCTCGTCGCTCATAAAGCCTATTTGCTTTGTCTTAGGGGTTATGGGGAAACGCTTCTCCAGAATCGCTGTTAGAGTTCCGACCATCTCGACTTTAGAGTGGAACTCACGCCGAGGAATGTGCTCAAGGAAATGCCCCAGACATGGCAATATGCCCAGGTAGATGCTGGCATCATTCGGCAAGCGTTAAGATCTCTTCGATTGAGTCTGGTGTTATGATGTGGTTGATGTCCAGTGTTCTCTGGTCAATCTGGGAATGCTTCACGCTTCTTCGAAGGGCCCAATATCTGAATGTACTCATTGCATTCTCGTTGTCATTATCAAATTCAGGGGCTAACTTTCCAAGCAAAGACCGTCTTAGTCTCCAGTCCATTGCACTGCTGGGATCGATCCGGCATGTGTTCGTGTCATATTCATTCCACTGTCACTTGTTGTATATCCTTACGTCTCCCGTGGCTGTGCGATATCACCATGTTACATTTCATGGTCCTTGAACGTCTCCGGCCTTGGGACCTTTGTCTTTACCATAATCTGCTCAGATTGCGCCACCGTCTCGCATCCCGCGACTCTTGACCAGTCTCTCACCGGGTCTCGAGAGGCGGTCATCACGTATCCTGCGCCACCTCAACAGGGTCACAACACCAACATTCTCACCTCGCCTGCAAACATCAGCCCCACTTAACTCTCATCTTTTACCTGTATACACCTCAGATCTGTGCACAGGGCCTCACATGCTGGCAGCTAGCGCAGTCTGCCTATCCATATAAGCTTGCCCACCCACGGCCTCAACCCTCTTTCCTTTCTCACACTACAACGACAACTACTCTCCCCTCCCTTCCTAACTTGACAATCCTCACAAGGGACAAGCCTTCTACTCTCTACAACCCCAGCTACTCCACCAGCATCAAGCCTACCTTCCTCAACCGCAACAAGAGCCGGTCTCACAATCCTCACTGCAGGCAGTTCAGTCAATAACACTGCAGGCAGTCTTCCGCGCTCAGCACCTTCCAGTAAGTTCCCAATTAAGCATTCATCTTCTTCAGTCACCATGACAACGATGATGGTGACCATCATCGCACTGCTGCCGCTGCGTACTCTGTGTCACGTCAAGGTCCTGGTACCTGCCGCGCAGTCACCGCCCTTATCGGCACGGTCACCACCGCAATCTCATCGTTCTTGCCCTCTTTGTTTTGACGCTACCACATGACCCCGACTCGGCCTAGCTTTGGAGCTCACCCAGTGCCATAACTTCCTCAGCCTCACCTTTTGTTTCCCACCCCAACACATCATATCCAACAACACTCCTTTTGTATGCCGTTCCTCTCCCATGCTTTATCGCACATAGCTTTTTGTTTCGTCGCCTTTGTCGCAAGCACATCAGTTCGCAGCTTCTACTTTTGAACTTTGCTGACTTGCCTCAGACCCGATCAGCGATCCGGTTCAAACGCTCACGTCCTCAACGCCAGTCCCGCACGCGACTCAGATCTGAGATCAAGGTACGTGTCCTCCGCTGTCGCCTCTGATCGCGCAAGCTCCATGCCGTGGTTGACTCCGGTGGCAAACGCGTCCTCGCTCTCGAACACCGCTAATATGACTTCTAGAGTACGCAATGGCCGGTCCAGCAAAGAAGCGCGCGCAGGCCGAGAAGCAGTCCAACGGCTCGTCCAATGGCTCCTCTTCTGAGTCTCGCGACCCTACTCAGCGCTCCGCTCCGAAGTCCATTCCCCGTGTCGACGGCAACCGCGATCCTAACGTTCGGGCTTGCGTTGACTACACCGACCCCCGAGACCTCAAGAACATCTCCGATTTCCTTGGTATTGCCGGTTGGTACCAGGCTCGTGGTGTAAGTACAAACACTCCTCTGTCTCAGGCCGCATGGGCATCTTGCATGTATCTTTCGTGCAAACACACCTCCCCGCACTGCCCAAATGCAAACAGCTTCGGGCTCGCATCCTACCAAGATTGGTATGGGTACGCTCTCTAGGCTGTGAGCATAAGAGCTACATCTCCGTGTGGCTTCCCTTCTCTCATCTTTACCCTCATTCTTATTCAAAACACCATTTGGATTCTGTTATCTTCCACTCCCACAATCCCTTCCCATTATCTTCATATTCCCAATTTCCCTCATTTCCCATCTTCATCATGGTTGGCCAGGACGCCGCTCCCCATCGCTTCTACCAGGACACCAGCCTCTACACTCCGAGGCACAATAATATCCTCTTTGCTAACGACCATCAGCTCACCATCCCGGGCTCTCTTCCTCAACGTCCCAAGAACTTCAACCAGTTCGGCAAGGCCGCCAACATCGTGCTCAACACCTTCAACGTCATCAAGGCCCCCGACACCGTCGTCCATCAGTATGATGTAAGTTTTCCTGTCCCTCAAGTTTGACTTGACACTAACTTTTACAAGCTCAACTACAGCGGCGACGCCCTCGACTACACCAAGCGTGTCCTACTGAAGAAGATCTGGAACTCCCCTACTATCAAGGCCGAGCTTGGTGAGCCCGCCAACCTCTGGGTCTGGGACACCAACAAGCTGGCTTGGTCTGGTAAGCGTCTGCCCCGTGACGATACCCGCATCACTGTCGACCTCGATGAGGAGGAGGGCCGTCCTACCAAGCCGGGTGCGCGTGGCAACAAGCACACCATCCACGTCCGCTGGACTCGTAAGGTCGACTTCATCAACTTGAACGCTTTCCTCGATGGCCAAGCTTCTTGGTCTAACGAGTGTATCGACACGATCAACTTCCTTGACCATGTCATGCGCGAGTGGCCTTCTCAGCAGTACACTCAAATCAAGAAGTCTTTCTTCCAGCGCGGAGAAACCCGCTTCGACCTTGGCGGTGGTGTTGAAGCCTTCAAGGGTGTCTTCGCGTCCCTTCGCCCCGTTTTGGACGACAAGTTCAAGAAGTCACTGTCGGTCAACGTCGATGTCGCCAACGGCACCTTCTGGCGTGCTCAAGAGCTCACCCGCGCTATTGGCCAAGTCTTCAACTGTAACCCGCCTCAGTTCGCCACCATGTACAAGAACGCCACTCGTGACTGGAAGGGCTCCATGCTCAAGAGGGACCTCCGCAAGTTCAAGAAAGTAGGTGTATCTACGACACATACTAAGGAGCCTACGCAATGGTAAGTTGTTCTTTTCGGTTTGCCGACTACATACGCGTGGTGTACTAACTTTTGATCTCAGGACGATCGATGAATTCGTCAACTTGGACGCTTCCCAGGCGACTTTCCCGGATCCCGATGACCGCTCCAAGAAGATCTCGGTTGCTCAGTACTTTAAGAAGAAGTATGGCGTCACTGTCATGGCTGGTCTGCCGGTAGTCAAGATGACCAAGAAGATCCGCAAGGAGCCTGTCTATATGCCTGTCGACGTCCTGAAGATCGACGGCAACCAGCGCTACACCACCAAGCTCAGCGATACCCAGACGTCCCAAATGATCAAGTTCGCCGTCACCCTTCCCAAGGAGCGTTGGGCCGCTGTTCAGCAGGGAGTAAAGTTGCTCAACTGGCAGAATGACCCCTACCTCCGCCACTACGGCCTGAAGGTTAGCTCCGCGCCTGCCAAGGTGATAGCTCGTATTCTCCCTTCGCCCACCGTTCACTTCGGCGCCGGTTCCAAGGAAGCCACCATCAAGCCTGCGGACATGATCGCCGGTCGCTGGAGGCTGGACGGTCGCAAGTTCGCCATGAACAACAAGGAGCGTCCTATCAAGGCGTGGGGTGTCTGCTGTGTCCAAGGTCGTGGCAGCCCTCCCCCTCAAGCCATTGAAGCCTTCTTCCAGAAGTTCGTCCAGATCTACGAAGCCCACGGTGGACTTGTAGCCGCGCACCCTCAGCATGGCAAGAAGCCATGGATGGGTCCCGGTAACCTTGCTGATGGTGGTGAGATGATCCAGAAGGTCTGGAACCAGACTGGCAACAAGTACGCCATGCCACCTAATCTGCTCTTCTTCGTCGTCAACGACCGCAATGTCGACGTCTACCGTCGCATCAAGAAGTCTTGCGACATTCGATTCGGTGTGGCTTCGCAGGTTCTCCAGGCCAAGCATGTCATGTCTGC